TTTCTGTTTTAATGTTTAGATCTTTAATCCATTTTGACTTTAGCTTAGTGTATGGTGATAGACCTGGGTCAAGTTTGAGTTTTCGGCATGTAGAGAGCCAGTTTTTCCAGCACCAGTTGTTAAAGAGGCTATCTTTCTTCCATTAAGCATGTTTGGCCCCTCTGTCGAAGATCAGCTGGCTGAGTGTGTTCGTAGGGACTTCAGCGTCTTCTAGTCTATTCCACTGATCCTCAGGTCTATTTCGTTGCCAGCTCCATGCTGATTTTATCACAGTAGCTTTGTAGTATAATTTCAAGTCAGGAATTGTAATGCCTCCTGCCTTGTCTTTGTTGCCCAGGATTGCCTTTGCTATTCTACGTCTTTCCTGGTTCCAAATAAACTTTAGGAACAGTTTCTCTAGGTCTGGGAGGTATGTTGATGGTAGTTTGATAGGGATTGCATTAAATCTGTACAGCAATTTTGGGAGTGTGGCCATCTTCACAATGTTGGTTCTTCCTATCCAGGAGCAGGGAATATCTTGCCATTTTCTGAAATCCTGTACGATCTCTTTTTTTCAGAGTACTGTAATTTTCCATGAAAAGATCTTTGACTTCTTGGCACTTTTTTTTTTTTTTGGCAGAACCGGGAATTGAACTCAGGCCCTTATGCTTACCAGGCACACTCTTATCCTACTGAGCCATCTCTCTGGCCCAATCTTTGACTTCTTTAGATGAATTCCAAGGTATTTCATTTTCTGCGGTGCTATTGTAAAAGGCATTGATTCTCTAATGTCCCTCTCAGTGTGTTTGTTGTCTGTGCAGAGGAATGCTGTTGACTGTGTATCCTGCTCTGCTGCCGAATGTGGGCATCAGTTCCGGGAGCGTCTTGGGGGAGGTTTTGGGTCTTCCAAGTAAAGTATCACGTCATCTGCAAATAATGATAATTGAACTTCTTCTTTACCTATTCTTCTTCCTTTTATTTCTCCCTCTTGCCTAATGGCTCGAGCTAATGATTCCAAAACTATATTGAATAGGCGTGGTGATGGGGACATCCTTGTCTTGTACCAGATCTGAGAGTGAAAGATTCCAGTTTTTCCCCATTGAGAATTCTATTAGCCATTGGGTTGTCATAGATGGCTTTCATCAGATTGAAGTAGAGGCCTTCTATCCCAATTTTCTGTAGGACTTTGAACATGAATGAGTGTTGAACTTTGTCAAAAGCCTTTTCTGCATCAATGGAGATGATCATGTGGTTTTTATTTTTATTATTTTTTTAAAGATTTTTTAAAATTTTATTTGTGTGTGTGTGTGTGTGTGTGTGTGTGTGCGTGCGCG